AGCCCCACGGAATGCGATGCCAGAGTGGCTCACAAAACTTTTGAATGCTGCCCTCGAGCCCACTCCTGCAGTCGCACAACAGACCGCGTCGAATCCTCCTTCAATCCCTCTGGAGGCGACCATCGTCCACGGCGTTCCTGAAGCGGTCCAGGTGGTATTGGGCTTGCTGCAGAAGAAGCTTCCGGGGGACAGGAGTCGCTTCAACGGCATGAGACCTATGACCAAAACCGGGTGGCATGTGATGAAGTTCAGAACGGTGGGTGTCAGAACATGTATCAATGGTTGCAATCACAAGAGCAATAACTTCAGCGTCCTGAGCAATGGGGCGATACTCCTCTACAGATGCCTGGGCAGCGAATGCATCAAGAAGGCCAAGCGGATGCTCGGAGTCTATTTTTGGCCCGAGTGCTTACCTCTGCAAATCGATGCAGATAATTCGAGAGTTCTGCAAGACTGTCAGAAGTACATCTGTACATCAAACGAAAAAGACTCCGAAGCCGCGGCCAAGCAGGAGGTGGCAACTTTGCTTGACATAGTCGTTAAAGTCATGAATCACTATTTCGGGGTCGTGACCGGCTCCTCCCGGATCACCTACACCGAGACACTCTTCAAACGCGATTTGGATAACAGCCTGAAGCCATTCAAGAAAATACTCCGAAGTGGACACGAATTCACAGAGCGCTGCGAGACGCTGGGCCTCTCCAAGGTGCCGGGGAAGGTCAAAAACGCTGGAGCCTACTGGCGATCGTCATCTGCAAGGCGGCAGTATGATACAGTGGTATTCTACCCCAGTCTGAATGAAGGTAACCCCAAGCATTTCAACCTCTTCAACGGCCTCATATTTGAACCCTTGAAATCGAAGCTCACCGAGGAAGGAATGCGAGAATGCGAAGCAAAAATTCCGAAGCTCCTATGGCACATCAGGTACATCCTCGCAAATGGGTGTGAACTGGCTTACAAATATATGATCTGCTGGCTTGCGCATGTCATTCAGAAGCCACACAAGAAGACCGGGGTGGCCCTGGTAATGAGATCAAAGCAAGGCAGTGGCAAGAGCGCGCTCTTCGACTTTTTCGGAATCATGATCGTCGGCGTCGAGCTCTACCTCTACTGTCAGGATCTCGAGAATGTCATTGGGTCATTCAACGCAGTGGCCGCTAACAAGTTGCTAACCGTCTTCGATGAAGTGAACAGTTGGGGTGGGGCATACAAGTTGAACAATAGGCTGAAGAGCATGATCACACAATCCCAGGGCGTTTTGAACAGAAAGGGCGTGGACGCGATTCAGGTGGACGACTTCCAGAACATCGTATTCACGACCAACGAGTATTGGCCCATAAAGAAGGAGACCGACGATAGACGATACTTTGCGATGGAAAGTTCAGACAAGATGATTCGGAACAAAGCTTATTTCGCAGCTCTGTTTAAAGAGTTGAACGACGTGGCGGAAACTCCGTACGTCTTTCATCGGTATCTATCATCCATCGACATTTCGGAATGGAACCCCCAGGACATTCCACAAACC